ACCTTGGAAAACTGAAAAAATGAAACATTATTATAGTTAAGAAATAGAAACAGTCGGCATGCTCTGTCAAGACGATGGGCACATCAATCTCGGCCACATGTGTATGCGGTACAAGCATAGCACGTCAAATTAAACGAAGAAGTAAGTTTCCACTCTTTTAACGAGCAGATTCTTATCCCGACGGGGAAAACTCAAACAAGTTCCACCATCGTCGTACCACGATGGAAGAACACCAGCTCGCAATAGGAAGTTCATGTCGCCGAGCTCAGGCCCCAAACAAGACTTGAGTTCCAGCCCATGCCCAAAAATTACCCTGGCCATTCGACCAATCTCCCCACACTGGCGAGCATCAATACTAATGAGCAAACCCCCTAAAAACTGTTAAACAAAATAAACGTCTCGAGCAGACGAGCATACAAATATGCAAAGCAATAAAAAAAGTAATAAATCATGCACAAACTAAAGTAAAAACATAACAATGCATAAATATTTAAAACGACCACCAAGGTCAGAAATATTTAAGATGACCACGAAGGCCGCTATTGTCAAAAAGCTACATAAAAGAGGGTTAAGCCTCATTTAAAGAAAATAACCGAAATAACAGCCACAGTGGCCGAAGCTGTCTAGATATTACATCAAACAGGAAGAAGCCCCCGAAACAAATTACAATAAAACGACACGCATGTTGAACAGGACAAAGAAACAATGAACATCAATCAGGTGCTAGGCTGAGGCTGCTCTTCAAGCTGAGGACCCACTTCGAAATCGAGTTGCGGCTGCACCTCGAGAGACTGGAGAGAATCTGCCACATGCCTGTCCATCATCTCGAGGAAGTCAAGGGCAACCAAACGACCGTCCACCATGATGTGGAGGAAACCAATCCTCGTCAAGACAAGATTAATACCCGGATTCATGAGACGGATCTGGGATGCATTCTTAAAGTCGTCCTCAGTAGCCACGAGAACATCTTCATCAACCTGCTGAATCCGAGCAACCAGTTGGGCCCTGGTTGTCAACCCTTTTAAATCCTCTAAATCATCCTCGTCAGGGACCATGGAAGACTTGAGCTTGTTCACCTCCTCCTCGAGAGCTTTTTTCTCTATCAGACGGGCATCCCTCTCCTCGATCAGGACTTTCTTCGCCTTTGTCAGCTCCTCATTGTCAACTTTCTACTTTTTGAATTTCACCTCAAGAGCCTTGTACGCTTCCTGGGTTTTCCTCAACTCCAGCTCCTCGGTGCTCCCCTTCTCGGTACAGATCATTGTTTCCCCCAGGATCCTCATCTGGGCAGCAACATCCTAGGCCAACAGGGCCCACTTGCTCGGGAAGTCTATCTCCCTGTATGCCAGGGACTCTTCCTTGTAGACCCTTAAATAAGAGCCCTCGAATAAAGTTCTATCGTAGAAGCAGGGGGCAGCATAAATCTTTCCTTGCCTTTCTCCCTAGTCAGATCGACTAAGTCCTCGGAACGGGGCCTCCTGACCCTCGAGCTCACTGGTAGAGGAGATGATTTCCATGCAGCTGGGCCATACGAGGAGGTCCCTGATCCATTCAGAGGGACACCTCATGCATCATTACCCAAGAGGCTCTTGGAAATCGCTTTTTCCGCTTTCTTGGCCTTAAGAGCAGCATTCTTAATCAAACACTCTTGAGGAGTAGACATTTTATCTGCAATAAAACAAGCATGAATTAGCAAAGCATGGATATGAGAACAAGGATAAGTCAAAAACAAAATGACTACCTAAATATTTCAAAGGGTCGCCACATTCGAGGAGCTCATTGACATTAATAAGTCTGGGCTCAAACACGAGCTTCCCCTCCTCGTTAACTAGGGCTTTTCCCTCTTTTCCCAGATGCTGAACTGGGGGTATTCCCCCGACAAAGGCCAATAACCAATCATAACTGGCCTGGTCTTCAGGATTCAGTTGGCTCGCCTTCACTATGTAGTGGCTGGTCCCACGAGTAAAGTGCTCCTTATCCCAATGAAAATGAAACCTCTGCACAAGCTCCCTCCTCGCCTCACCCTCCTCGGTCAGCACAACCTCCTCGTCCGCACCACGCTTGGGGACGCTCATTAATACATTAAGAATTGCCTTCTCCGACACGGGTTGAACCAACAAGTATATGTCCTTGAAGTGCCGAACAGATTCCAGATAGGCCTTAAATAGCTTCATGTTCAACTATTTTAAGGAAACCCATCCAAACTGCCCACCAACGGCTCCCCGCTGGAAGTGGAAGCAGTAGAAAAACAGGGGGACAGTGGCCACAATCTTCAAATACTCACACACCATCTCGAAAGCCCGCAGGAAGGCTATCGAGTTAGGGTGAAACTACGAAGGAGCAAGATGAAGGTAGTCGAAGACAACCACCTGAAGGTCGGTGTAAGGGAGACGAAGCCCCATGTCTCTAAAAATGATCTCGTACATAGAAAATTGATTAACATCATACTTCATGAAGATCCTATCGTATTTCCTGAGGACAAGGACAAACCAATCCTCCTCAGCATTCGATCGCTCCATCCTCGCGGCCATGACTATGAACAAGTCCTCGAGATGCTTGGTAAAGTATGACGCTATATCCCGGGACCCAGCGCAATCCAGTTTGTCTCCTCGAATTCATTTTGCCCAAAAACCACGGTCTCACCCTGCTCGGGTGCACTTTGCTCTGACAAGGTCTCCTCAGAAGAGTTTTGTCCGGACGTACTCTCCTCAGAAGAATTCTGGTCGATGGAACTTTGTTCGTTCATAACCTCATCCTCGGTGCTACTAGCCATTTTACCTGAAAAGCAAAAGAAAATAGTGGATTCAACGTTAAATCAAATCCACCCTTCCACCGCTAATCAAGTGAAAGGGTGCACAAAGGCACGAGGACCCTGTCCCCGACCAGAGCCCTCACTTAAACAGCAAAAGACGAACGCGAGGACGATTCCCCCTAACACGTTAGGCGCCTGTCCGCTAGGATAAACCCTAACCCATACAAGGAGTGATCTCCCTGACATCTGGGTTTTAAACCTCTCAAGAGGATTCATCAGAAACACATGAAGTTCATGACAGAAATCTAGAAACGGCACAACTTTGCCGCCAAACTCATCACAGCTCGCCACTACCTACCCAAACGCCAGACACCACCAACAAACTCATGGTGGAGTCAACATCCTCAAGTGGTAGAACCACCACCAGGTGCCAACAAATCTCTAGAAGATTCCCCCACTAAACTACATTAATCCTAACTACATGCATCTCTAAAGACGAAATCAGAAAATCTAGCCTAGAACAGAAACAACGGAAAATCAAGAAACTTACTTGGTCGGGGAAGATTAGCGGCTAGCGAGCAAAAGTTTCGACGGTGTACGGTGGTGCGTTGCAGAGATGAGAAGAGACGAGCAGGAGGAAGCAAGCGAAAAAGTGCAAATGAAGCTTCCTATTTCTCATTTATAGGAAGCTTTGCTAGCGCACGAGCGGGCACGCGCCTAGGGAAGCATAGGGGTCGTCATCATTACACCTTAGTCCTTAGACTTGCCATCATTATGCATTAATGACAACACGTGACTCGATGCAAGCGTGACACGCAAACTCCTCAGATCCAATCAACTATTACTCTTCCCGCAAGTCGAACACACGAAGCAACGCTCGAGCTCCTCGTACGAAAGTGTCCCCGAAATCATAAAATTTCCCCTGCCCACGGGCACGTCTTAAGTCATCCCTCATTTGCCCAAAAGCAATGACTTGGGGGACTCTTGTTCTATACTGGCCCAATGACTAGAATTGCCCAAATCTGCTTCTACCTTCAACATGACCCAACACCTTTAGCCCACTAGCTCTGGCCCTTCCTCGAGCACACTTGGTCGACTGCATCCCATGAACGGAGAGACCAACGATGCTCTGAGTCATGCGCCTGTCCGTATCGACAACTACCTCCAGGTTTGCTCGACACACGTGGAATAGACAACCAAGAAATGTCCATAACACATTTGTCAATAATCTCTATCTTATTCGGAACAACGACTAATTACAAGCATGACTGTCCGTTTTGACAGAGTCCTAACAGTTACTTATTTTTAAAATTCTTTATTTTGACACCATGGGTTAGTTGCATACATGCATTAGGTGTGTACCACTAGGGAACTTGGAAATCTTCAAAGTGATTGCCCTGCACATCTTTTGGATATTCAACAAATCATAAACAAAAAACTTTTTATTCCCACCAGTGTTTTGCTGCCTCATTTTTTTCCGTTTCAAATTCCTTTATATATATATATATATATATATATATATATATATATATATATATATATATATATATATATATATATATATATATATATATATATATATATATATATATATATATATATATATACCTCTTCACAAGTCAATTCTCAAATTAATCATATCTATCTAATTATCTTTGATCATCTTTAGTATTTCCTATTCATCATATTTAGAAAACATGAGTGTATTTCAAATCATTCTAAGAGTATCTTTTATGGCTATCCTCATCAAATTGGCCATGGCTACTAATCACATTGTTGGAGGACCAAATGGTAGATGGGATACCAGCTCAGATTTTTAGTGTTGTTTATGAGCCTATTTCGTGTGAAAACTTGTTTTTGATGCTTTTCTTTGTTACTATTGTGGATTATTATGGCTTAAAAAATCAGTAAAAATCACTTTAATTTTCAATCATGAGTCATACATTTCCGACCATCACATAAAGCATTTTCTTATATTAGTTTGAGATTCAATTGTAGCAGCACAAATTTATGATATCAAATCAATCAAATCCAAGCAAACTTTTAGTCTGTGAATTAAAAAAACAAACAACAGAAACAAAGCGAATAACTTGGACAAAAACATAATACAAGCAAAGCACGCATACGATAACAGTAATGTTATTCCAACAACAATTTGATACACATAAATTCAATAATTCCGTGCATCAAGTTGATGTTCGAATAACATTTTTGTACAATAAGGGAGTGAATGCTGTTGCTAACCACTTTAAGCAACGGGTGGTCGAAGGAGATGATCTTGTGATGTATCAATTGTAGCAGGTGACATAAACTGCCACATTGAAATTCCAGGATAACCAATGAATGGCATCAGCTTGTGGCCAGCAGTTTGTGCTTTAGAAGCCATGGCATTAGAGAGGAAGCTTGACTGTACACTTGTTAATTTCACTTGTTGCTCCAGCTTTTCTTTGTCTAGCTTCAGCTTATTCTTCTCGTCACGAAGCTCATTCTTCTCAGCCTGCAAAACATAACTCTTAAGCTGCTACCGCGCAGCACAGAGAGGATTATAAGACTGTGTTTTGTTAAGATAAGAAAAATCACCTTAAGTTCTTTAACTTTTTCGCGTAATTCATCGTTCCTTTCCTTGAGCCTCTGTGCTTCATTTCTTAATTGAGTCACCACACGAACCGCATCGTTTAATAAGGTAACCTTGTCTGTCTTGGGCAGTGTGTCAGGCTCTAAGACAGAACTCAATTCCAGAAACCTTTAAATCATGTCAAATTGAAAGAAAAAAAACATGAGATTTTAGCTTAAAAGCCTATACACTCAATCAGAAACTTGCAAAAGTAATAGCATACTTATCATTCAGTTTATCCCTTCTCACTTTCTCGCGACCTGCCTTCGAGCCAGAAGCATATGATTCTGTCCTTAACCTGAAATTACAGTGACATATTAACTGGTGAATTTCAGCCATATATAATATATCTTTTACAAAGACAAAGAAAATGTTACCGCTTTGAAGAGACATTTTCGAGTATAGTTGAATCTAATGAGTACTCCATTTGCAAGCTGCAAATATAGAGTATTAATCAATCACTCATAGTATGTTCGATTCGAAAGGCATGAAAGAGATGTTACCGCTTTGAAGGCTTTGAAGGGCCATTTTCGAAGACAGTAGAATCTAATGAGTATTCCATTTCCAAGCTGCAAAATTATAAAGTAACCATAACAAAGCTTGGACTAATATATCACTTAATCTATGTAAAATCTAAAAATCCAACTCAGATTCAATAATATTTCAGAAATGCAAAAATAGAAAGGCAAAGAATAGAAAGTAACCTGATATTGGAGGAAGGAGGGTTGAGGATGTGAGTCTGAGAGTGAGGCATCCAGTTGAAAGCAGCAGCAGAAGAGTGATGATCAGAAGAAGCCATGAAATCAACAGCAGAAGAGTGATGATCAGAAGAAGCCATGAAATCAGCAGCAGAGAGAGAGATATCATAGCCATAATCATAGAGCCAACAAGAGGAACCACCACCTGTGGAATCCATGTACATGTGAGCAAGGTAGAGAGAGAGTGTGTAACTAACTGTGTACTACTACTACTGTATTTTTATCAATATCAATTGATGGATAGTTAGTAATAGTCATAAAATAGCGTGAGAATATATAATAATAACATTATATATTGATTTATTTGTTTGTTCTACTTGTCCCTTAGGATTTATCATCAGTAGCTGTAGTATTGTTGAGAAGAGTAAAGAGAAAGTCATTGTTGTGTGACGGAAACTGTGATGTGTGCCATGGTTAATTGGTAGTTGTATTACGTTGAAACAGTGCAAGGTATCAAATTATACGTCATCCCTTTGCTTCGGTATAATTCCTTTCACGCATGTTATACGCATTTTGTTTTACGCCAATATTATCATTACTAAATATACTTTTTAATACTAAATTTTACAATAACCATCATACACCTATAGGGTTTATCTTAACTGTTTTATTTGAAAGTGGTGTTTACTACATACCTCATGTAGTGTGATCACACACTTTATAAAAATTTCAAAATATTCTTCTTATAATCTAGATCGCTCATTCTTCAACTAAGACATTTCATTTTTGTCACAAAATTAGTTTGGATTTTAATCTCTAGATTATAGATCTGAATTTTAATCTCTGAATTTATCTTTTGATAGTGTTTTCCACCCTTTGACATTAAGCTAAAGGAAATTTGATTTTTTTAATAAACTTGAATTATAAGTCATTTATAAATCAATCAAAGTAAGATAGATCAAAATAAAATAACTATTACGTATATATAAATATCAAAATATCAAATACAAGATGTCATCATGTCATAATCAATCCAACTACAAACCATAATACAAAATCTTCAAAATACACAAAATAAAATCTCATTGTTGAGTATATCGGACGCTCTTGTTCCTCCTCTGTTGTCAGTACTGCAATGCATTTCGTACATATGCTAAGGTGACCTGTAGATTGATCATCTAAGGGGTGCCCTCCATAAACTCGTCCTTAGTTATGACATCTCTCTCAATATCCATAATGTGGTACATGCATGTAACACACCAATGGCAATGTCTGCCCTCGTATGCTACTCTTCTAAAATCTCTTGATGAGCTAGTCTCGGGAGATCTATCTTTGCATCTGGTGTCATGAAAGGATGCGACACTCTATAAAATCACTGGATGTAGTTGTATATCGTACACCATGGACGAGGAGATGGCACATGTCTTACATCCTTAAGCACCAGATGATCAAAGTACGCTGCAAAGATTTTATCAACATCTTTGTGATGGACAATGGCGAGAGCAACAACATTAGGGTCTTTGGGTAAATACGATGGATATATCCAAACTACTGCATGAATCACTCAAGTAGATGAGGTACATAAGTTAAGACCTGCGAGACATCTATCTGGAGTACAATGTCATCACCTCCAAGAGTTATGTCTCACGTTGATCGTCGTAAGGAATCTAGTTAATATCATCTGCCATGTTGCGGTCAATAGTAACTCAGAATAGCTCATTCGCCTGGTTCCCTCTGAGCAAGATGGTCGAGCATGCATGTGGTAAGGCCTCAGAGTAGTCATCCACATATGCCCATTCGGAAAGACGTGGAAAATTTGGTGGATCCATTTGACTAAAAATGGTTTAGATGAAATACTAGTAAAAGAATAGTGTTGTGTATGTATTGTGACGTTAATATCAATAAAGGTGCAAAAATATTATCGTAAATAAATTATTGTTTCTAGTTAACTATCCAGTCTTCCACATACTATCCATAACTAGTTTGGAGTAGAGGCACACCAAACAAGAAACCTCCCAATTATACTCATGAATCCTCTCCAAGTCAACAAAATATTTGATGTAGATAACAATGGCATATGTTGTACTTTTCCCAAAAAAATGGGCGTGTCGACCAACCTAAGAGGTATGACTTTAATGCACATGCTTTGTGGTATGCAACTATAGAATGGTCACCATCAAAAAAAGAAATCTCTCCAATAATAGGTTGCAAGGGTCTAGCTTTCTCCCTACAAATGGAAGCATGTTGGGACACTCTACCATGTCTCAATCTTTCTTGGTTGTTAGACATTTTTCTGCAATCAAACAAGCATAATAGAGAGATGTCATAACATGAAATAAAAACAAGAATGAAGACCAAAAGTCAGACAACAGGTGAATCTAAATTCCAAACTCCAGACAAAGGATCTGGATTGTACAATCCGGATTGCATGCGAACCAGAGAAGACATAATAAAGAATACGACCCTATAAGCCATAATGCTTAAAAATATAATGCATGACCATTCAAGACAAGCACAAAAAAGATTTATATTACAATTAAGCCAAAATTGTCATACCTATACTCTATTTTAGTAATGCATGCATGTGAAATCAAAAAAGGAAATAGAATGAGAAACTTATCAATGCAATGGAGAAAAGCTTCAAATAAATGCAATGTAATATTTCATATCCTCTTAAATGACAATTCCTCTAATAAGTGGGATAAATTGGGTAATTAGTGAGTTAAGAAGAGAGCATTAGTAAAATTATAAAGAGTTGCATTTTGGAGATTATGAGAGTTTGGCAAAGGCAATATGGTAAAAGTACAAATTAAGCTTACTAAATGACGAAAGAGTTTTTTACATATCATGAAAAACTCCCATTCTTTCTCATTTTCAATTTCATTTTTTGTAAGAAAAGAAAAAGAGAATGAAAAGAAAGAGAGAAATAAAAAGAAGAAAAGAGAATAAGAACTTGGATCAAAGAATAAGAAAGGATTTCTACCTCATCTCATCTAAATTTCATCATCATGTCCCTTTATATGAGGTGGGTACTTAGCTAGTGTTAGTTTTGAGGGAAATTTTCATGAATAATGGGAGTTAGGGTTGATTTATTACTTTGTTTGTGAAATTTATGATTGAAACATGATTCTTGATATATTTTGTGCTATTACTAGTAATCCATGATGTTATGTTATGTTGATGTTATATGTTATGTTGTGTTGCTGTATATTTATGTTGTGTTGATGTTATGAGAATATGTCAAGAAACTATATTGTAGTTGTTGTTCTTTGATACATGACTTCTTGTTGTGGTGTTGTTGCTAATCCATGGAGTTGATGTTGTGTTGATATTGTGTTGTGGTTATGTGAACATGTGGTAGAACTATGTTGTTGTTGTTACATGATGTATTATATGATGATAGAATTATTTGGATTTATTAGAGATTAATGAAGGTGAAACATGGTTGCATATATGTTCTTATATGATGTTAATTTCATGGAATGAAATGCTTGAGTATGCTATAACATGATTGAGTATGGTTTAGATGGTTAGAGATTGAAAATATGGATTTAAAAGTGAGTTTTCTTGAAAAGTTACAGAGCATTATTTCTTAGAGACAGATGGCCTGCTTAACGAGCTACCTCATTGAGAGCTCACTTTGATCTGGCTAAGCAAGACTACTAATACAGAAATTTAGTAGCACTGAAAATAATGTATTTGAGTTTTGTAACTCAAAATGAGACGTAGTCAGATGTGTTGGAAAACTTGTTTAAAGCTTTATCTCATGATGATGCTTGACGATACTTATTTGCATGTTACTCTTTATGAATGGGTTGTAGTTTCCTTACTTATGTGTGCCATATTCCATAGATAATGGAAACATAGTGAGTTCAAATGAACAATAATTGACCAAATTCCATGAGAATATATGTGTTTTAACCTAGATCATAGTTAGGTGAAATGATTAGTAAAGGTAAACTTAGGTTATGATGAATAACTTAGGTTGTGATGCTCGATTATGAAAGATACCCCAGTGTGTACCCATGAGTGAGTAATCCCTTCAGATTAATCATCCCATCTATGAGAGTGCCTGAATGACAACGATTTTCTAGTTTCAAGGTTAATTGGCTTTATATGGAAAGATATTATGATAATGTGACTGATGAGTATAATCACATGGTGATTGATGAAAAAAACCCTTATTCTTGCTTATCACGAGTCTGACCTCTATGTAAAGTAGTGATCGGGATAGAAAGACATCATAGTGGGTTAGAGTCCCATAGAGGTTTGAAACTCATAGTGGGTTAGAGTCCCATTGAGGTTTGAATCTCATAGTGGGTTAGAGTACCATATAGGTTTGAATATCACAATGGGTTAGAGTCCCATAAAGGTGTGAATCTCATAGTGGGTTAGAGTCCCATAGAGGATAGAACCTTGCAGTGGGCTAGAGTCCCATATAGAAATTACCTCAAAGTGAGTTACAGTCCCATAGAGGTGTGAACCTCGCATTGGGTTAGCATCCCATAGAGGAGAGAACATTGTAGTGGATTAGAGTCCCATACAGGAATGGACATCAAAATGGGCTAGAGTCCTATAGAGGTGTGACCATCATAGTGGGTTAGAGTCCCATAGAGGAGTGAACCTCCTAGTGGATTATAGTCCCATATAGGAGACAATCTCACAGTGGGTTAGAGTCCCATAGAGGAATGAGCCTCAAAGTGGGTTAGAGTCCCATAGAGAAATGATCCTTAAAGTGGGTTAGAGTCAAAGGAGAAAACTTCATGGTGGAAATACAAATCATTATATAAAGGTTTGTGACCCATATCTGAATTTCTGGTATTCAGATATCAGATGTCTTAAAAGATGTTGAGACATCTTTCTCTGAACAAATACACAATAACAAGATATATGATAAACAAAGTGCAGAAAAGTAAAGAATACACAGGATTGTTAACCCAGATCGGTGTACACCAACACCTACTATGTGGGCTACCAATCCAGGGATCAAGTTAACTACCAATAGTATCAATTCGAAGCTAAACTCCCTCGTTTACAACTTCTCACTTAATCACTATCATTGCTTAACTTCTACCTAAGACTCCCATAGGTATGAGACCCTTATCAAATCCCTTACAATCACAACAAAATGATTGATCAATTCTAAACACTTAGAAAAATAATACATAAGTCACACTTCAAAGACACACAATCATTCACTGCTTAAAAGCTTTGGAATAATTGA